ATGCTAAATTGAAGAGATTTTAGATGATACGCCAAAGAGAAAATTATGTCTGAAGTTCAGTTTTCAACCCGCAGATGCATTTAAAAAGGTAGCTAACTGTATAAACTAGAGAATAAAGCAAAAACAAAGTGATTCTGAGAGGAACGCAAAAGCAATGTTGGCTATTAGCGAAGTTCGAAACCAATGTCTGAAGTCTGAAGTCTGAAGCGTATAATAAAGATCCATACAGAAAGGCCACTTACGTTGGAAGCTTTATTTTACCTTGGGTGACATTACTTATAACCCTGAAAACCCGCGAACATTTAGATCTTTATGCTTGAAGTGTAACTGTGTTCGTAGTTTAGCGTCTCTAATAACTTGCTGTTATTGAAAATTTCAGCACAGCTATAGCTACATGGTAACTGCTCAAGCTATGCTTATAAAGTCGTTAGCATGCATTGATTTGTTCAATTTCTTTTCAGCTAGTGCATGTTATTATTATAGCTTGATCAGTTGCCGTAGCTACTGTAGCTAGCTAAATACTTAATTACAGACTGTAGTTGCATAAATGCACGAAGTTAGTTGTTAGTTTTTTGGCTATTTGATGTTAACGTATTGTCCTTGGGTTCGCAGTAATGCGCTAATCGCTGTTGCAAATACCCTGCGTGCCATATAGTCTATTTAGTTAATTCGTTATATTATTACTTTGTAATAACTGTTAAGACTATCTGGTGAAGTTAATAAATTAAATTAAATTAAACTTTGAAGCTTCTGTCCTCGCGCATGTTGAATCGCGCATGTTGAATTGCGCATGTTGGCCGACACGTTGCACCGCTGAGTGACCCTTCTGTTACAGATCTTCTGATTCTCGATGTCTGAAGTCCCTTCACACGGCTCCCGTAGATTGTAACTCGCGCAGTGTTTCCACAATGCACCATTCAAGTTTATTTGATTTGGCCTTAAATTTTCTTGAATTTCTTTTTTAGGGTCAAAATTTTCTTGATTTTGAAAAAGGACATTTCTTTGAAAGTGGAAACGCTATTCAGCTTCTGGAAATTGCACGCGCACGTTCTGTGAAAGAAAGGTGCTCGCTTTTTCATATATTTTCAACTAAAATGCGCGCATGTTTTGTCGAAAAGCGCGCAATGTGTAAAAAATGCGCGCGGAACATAAAATATGTTCCGCGCGCACGACAAACAATGCAGTCTGGGTAGTATGTATACATGTCTGTCAATTGTACAGCAGGGACTGAGAGAGCAAGAAAAGTTAGTTTAATATTATATTGTATTAAAATATATTCAAAGTACCAACAGCAACCTTGTATCAGATTTATAACACGAGGCAATACCCAAGTGTTTTAATAGATCTGATGAAACATGTACTGTGAGTGTTTTGAATAACTTCTGAAATGATGTATTTAATAACTTCATAAATAAATTCAAAGATGAAGTTTATGTAAATCTTATTTCTTTTTGTTTTCACCCTCATCATGATTTTTGAAATTTATAGATGTGTCTTCCTTCAATGTCAGGTCCCCCCAGGATTTGGTTTACCAGAATTGCAGTCCCCCTTTTCATCTGGGAAAATCTCAGGTCCCCCCAGTTTCTCACCCATCCCCCCCTCCCTTCCCATCAATAATGAATGCCCCCTTATTAATGTAATTCAATTCAATACAATTTTCAATGATCATATTAAATACTTTAATTGTCATAAATACTAAATTACAGTACGTATTATGAAAATATATAAAATTTATTAAAATTTTCGTTAGCATTTTGTGATTTCTATTTCCAAACCTAGAGCTCAAATCATTGGTATTTACTTAACCTCTGAAAATATGTTTAATATAGTGATGGATATTTTAAAAATTTCCCCCAAAAATGCCTGAATTACTATCATTGCCTCAGTTCAACTATTTCAACAAATCTAGTGTATGTCATCAAGAGTGTTTCATTTTCTTTACAAAACTAGTAGTGTTACTTAAGCATGTCTTTCAATCCCTGCTGATTAGCAGAGGTTGGTACAAAACTCCAATTTTCAGACCTTGAGGATTGCAGCATTGAAGTATAATTTCATGACCACATGCAGTATTCCACCAATGCATCAGATTCCTCAAATTTGCCACTGACAATACCTCTCCCTTAATTTAAGTGAACACTTCTTGGTCTAAAAAAATATAAAGCAGTTTAATTATTATCTAAAACTACACATTAATTTAATGAAGCAGACCATGTATTCCGTATGAGAAAAAGATAGAATTGAGAGGTAATGTCTATTCATGTGCAAATATTTCTAATGTTGACCACCAACTATTACATGCAGTAAGTGCATGTTTGGTGAGAAAAAGGTTTTACATAGCAATGCTGATGTACGTCAGGGCTTTCAAAATAACCCGGCGGCCGCCGGAGCTCCGGCGGGTGGCACGAGGTTTACCGCCGGTTACTTTGTTTAGTATACTTGAAGCATCAATTCTGCTCTCCTTCCTCCATTCTAAGCTTTCAAACAAAGTTCTTTTTCCTCAACTTGGTCTATACTAATTTATAGCCTGGTTATTTTCGAAAACGACGTACTATTTCATAAAACTGATTTAGTTATTTGTCATCTTAAAAATAAATCTTGTAAATTGTTGAAAAATGAAAGTAGTGATACATCATAATATGTGTTGTGTTGCTATCTAACCAATGTACATAATTAATTTGGATGATTTTAAGACTAACTAGACCGTCCCCTCCCTACAGCCGCCTACTTTATCAAAACAGACACCTACTCTGAATAATTCTGAAAGCCCTGGTACGTCACTAAATGTTGAAGGGTTTTTGTAGATGGAAATTTTGAGTGTAAATTTTATACATTTTTAGACCTGGTTAAAGCAGCTGCAAAAGATGCAACTATATTTTTTAGATTGGTTAGGTCTAAATCATGATATGTATAAAATTCACACTTAAAACATTCGTCTAGTAACGCTACCTTCGATATTTAACGTTCTGTTGAGTGTGATGTCCAAAATCCTGGCATTTACCCTTACACCTTACTACAGGCTTCACCTTACGATATTTACATGAATTAATTTGCAACTGCAGCTCTCGACAACTGTAGCTGAACAGTATAAATTGGTTTGAACACTGCATCAGAATCATTGATGGCTGCAGGTTTATTCCTGTCTTAAAGGTCTACATACAATGCTGCTTAGAAATGCTTTCATTAAACTGTTTTAAAAGTTGCATTGTACCTTAATGCACCCTATTTTATATAAATTGATAAACACCAGAGAATTTTAAGTGTCCAAGGGAGAGCACTGGTGCTTAAGGAGTTTATAATCAGGTGTATAATGACACAAAAAGTGTCCCCAATCAGTATTTTATAGGTAGACAGAAACAGACTACCTTCCTGGATAAGCTAGCTTCCAGTACCCCAGTAGCTTATACAAAAGTTGGTGCTTATTAAACACAAACCACAAACCCTACACATCACATACAGTTGTTTCATCAAGTGTATATGTTTATAAAAGTAATAAAACGAGACCTCAGGTCTCTGCAGTCAACTTTTTAACATTATTACACAAGATAGTTTGCACTTTAGTGAGTTTAGACACTATATATATCATACAAATTTGTGAATATCAAATCTTTGTTGTTTAGAACTAAATATTTGACAATTTGTGAATACAGCTTTTTAAAATAATGGGAAATTTTACACCTTACAATATGAAATTTGGACTGTAGAAAGCTGAAAGCTTGTTTTCTTAACAAATGAAGTGTATTTCATCGTTAGGTTTACCAATTTCATGTCAAATAAGATAAAGAATAAGTAAAATTGACTAGACGTCTCCTACCTTTTATCCGACTGACCGACTCAAGTATCGTCTTAATAATATTCTTTTCCCACATTTCTCGAGGTTTCATTTGGCTTTCGCGGGCGAGAATAACACGTACGACTTGCATATCTTTAACCAAATGGTCAATTTTGGTTTTACGCATTTCTTATTTACTCTAATCCTTACGGAACAGAGTAAATAAGCAAATGCGTAAAAGCAAAATTGACTTTTATCACAAAGAGATAGGGGACTGTACATATTCAAATGATTTCAAAAAAATTTGGTCCCTTATAAATTCCCTTACTGGAAGGAATAACAAATCTTCCAGTATTACAGAAATATCTGTGAATGACAACAGCATTACCGATTCTATATTAATCGCTGAAACGTTTAATGAATATTTTGTTAACATTGGCCTTAGCCTAGCTTCTGAAACTAGTGAAGAGCCTGAAGCTGGTGAAGAGCCTCTTACTCAACACACTACGAATAGCTACAATAATTCCAATCCCACAACAGATACGATATTCCATTTCCATCGTATTAATGTAGAAAACGTTTTTCTGGCATTAATGAACCTTAAGATAAACAAATCTACAGGCCTTGATAAAATTCCAGCCAATGTTCTCAGACTCTCTGCAGATATTATTGCCCCGTCATTAACATATATATTTAATTTATCACTTGACACTGGTATTTATGTTGATGACTGGAAACGCGCGCGAGTAATTCCAATTTACAAATCTGAAGATCGACGGAAATGTGAAAATTATAGGCCAATTTCCATACTCCCTATTGTAAGTAAAGTTTTGAGAGAGAGGTTTTTCGACAGCTTTATGGCTATCTTTCCAATAACTCATTACTTTCTAAATTCCAATCAGGGTTTAGACCTAAACACTCAACCCTGTCTGCGTTGATACAAATGTGTGATAATTTACTTAAAAACATGGATAGTGGTCAAATAAATTGTATAGTCTTTCTTGATGTTAGAAAAGCCTTCGACTCCATAAATCATGAAATTCTGATTGATAAAATGCGTAATTTTTTCGGAGTAACAGGAAACCAACTAAGATGGTTCGAATCATACCTGAATAACAGGGTTCAACAATGTCTTATAAACGGACAACTATCGAGCCCAAAAAAGATAATATGCGGAGTTCCACAGGGGTCCATCCTTGGTCCTCTATTATTTTTATTATACATAAATGATATGCCCGACTCGTTAAGTCACTTAACTCCTTCACTCTATACTGATGACACGGAAATTTATGCATCTTCTAATGACTGCGCCGACCTTGTCGACAAGGTAAATATTGATCTCGAAAACATACGCAAATGGATGATACACAATAAACTTCAAATCCACCCCAGTAAATCGAAACATATGTTCATTGGATCTCCCTATAACCTTAAGAATAAAGTATCTGGTAATCCTATTTTAATTAATAATAAGCTAGTACCCAGGATTAATAAATATTCATGCCTTGGCGTGACTATGGACGAAAGGTTGTCTTGGGATAAACATATTGATTCAATCTGTTCTAAAGTTGGTGCCGGTATTGGTGCAATGAGACGTGTTAAACCTTTTGTACCACTGTCGACAACCAAAATGCTATATAATGCTATTATACAGCCTTATTTCGATTATTGCAGCCCGTTGTGGGATAATTGTGGAATTGGGCTCAAAGATAAGTTGCAAAAATACCAAAATCGTGCTGCAAGAGTAATTACTGGGGCAACTTACGATATTCGGTCATCTGAGTTACTCAATAATCTAAATTGGAAACCTCTAGAAGAAAGACGAAATTATCTTAAATCTATTTTCATCTATAAAGTTCTGAATGGCCACACCGCACCAAATCTTAAAGAAGCATTTCATTTTAATAATGAAAGACATAATACTTACAATCTTAGAAATACGGATACTGATTTAGCACCACTTATGCCGAAAAAAGAATTCGGCAGTAGGTGCTTCAGTTATAATGGTGCCTTGCATTGGAATAATCTTCCCCATGAGGAAAAAATTGCAGAATCTCTAAGCTCTTTCAAGTCGATATTGAAACAAAGAATGAGTTGAAATTTGCTTATGTATAATCGCGCAGCTAAAATCAATTGTATTTATTTATTTTGTTATATTTTGTATTTCCTGTATATAGTTAACTTTTTGTAAATAGGTAATTTCACGCCCCTCATGGAAACCAGCCTTCCAACGGCTGTTGAGGCTAGCGTGGTCTAAATAAAGTTTTGTATGTATGTATGTATGTTTACCGTCCATAAAATATATATTCACTTCGGCTCTTTCATTTTCCACCAGATAGCGCCTTATCGCACACAATCTGATATATCGTTTTTCGGATCCCCAACCTTGTCAGCCGAGCGACAATACTGTGCACAATACTGTGCTCAACACTTTCTGGTCCTCGAAACCGCTTTTTCTTATATTATAAGAAGATACCATGCTCTTTTGCCAACAAAATTCATCTATTCACGACGAAAGCGAACTGAATGCTTCGTTGCACTTCATGCAAACTTTCAAGCGAATGTAATCGTTAATGCCCACGCTCACTTTTTTGAATATCTAATAATTTCATGCCTCATTGCTATGAAAGTCTAATGATGTGTGAGAAGCAATTTCAAATCCTCGTTAGTGTTTTAAACTTGGCTTCCAAATCCCCAGTGCCATGAACAATGGGTCGGCTGCGCCTCGCCATTGTTCATGGCACTTGTATTTAGAAACCACGTCTAAAACACTAACTCGGATTTGAAATATTACGTCAAAAACAAATATGTCGGTTCCGAGTTTTTCAAGTTCATCCAATTCAGCCCAACAAAAAAGCTAGTTAATAAGGAGCGTTTCACATTGCGTATAATTCGCAGTCATGCCAGGGAATGTGATAATCTATATACAGTCAATTAAAAAAAGGTTGTCCTTTGCAAGAGCTTTTGTTACGCGCGTGGTAATATCATGCAGTCAATTCTCATCAACTCCTGTGTAGTTCTTGTTCTCGTTTGACCGACGAGTTGAAAAAACTCTCATGCAAACTCACTTAGAGTCTCGCTTGCAGATTCTCATCAACTCTCATCCAGAGCTTAAACCAATTTTTTTCTATGTCGCGTATTTGCGATGAAAAGTGTTCAAAACCGAAAATGTTTTTGGCGTCCCTCTCCAAATTATTTGTTTTGGCTTTATTCTCTAGTTTATACAGTTAGCTGCTACCTTTTTAAATGCATTAATTTGCCGGTTGAGAAACATAAAATAATAGTAAAAAATTGTCAATTAAAATACAATTATCATTGATGCAAAATTGACGTCCTGCATGCATGTTTGCACAGTATAATATAAGCAAAACGTACTGAACTTCAGACATCATTTTCTCTTTGGTGTACCATCTAAAATCTCTTTATTTTAGCATTATTTTATAGATAAAGTACTAAACATACTTTTTAAGTTTGTTTGCCGCTTGTTAAACAAAAAATTGAATATAGTCATAGCCAAAGTGGAAACGTTTTGAGCGCGCGTTACGTATACAAAAGATTCTCCTCTTAATAATCATTGATGGCTGCGCAGAGTGTAAGATGTGGTTTTCAGTAAAAACGTAAAAACGCACTATTTCAAACAAATCTGCAGCAGACTTGTACCAAGTTAAAGCTGTTTCAACAATTTGTTATCATGCAGGATGTGTTCGCACTAATTGTTGACAATTTGTCAACGGTTTGGCTTGTTGACGACTTACTACAACGTTGTTGAACTCAACAGTCTTGTTATAAGTTGTTTTATGCAACAACTTGTTAAAACGTTGCCGGAGTGACAATCTTGTAGAAACGTCACACTACTAGTGAAACCCTATACGGCCACCTCGTTAATACAGTCACCTCTCTATTATGGGTAGTTTTGTCCCCGGAAAGGCGAAGACAATACATTTCCTTATAAAAGAGATATCTCTTTAATATGACTGTCTCGTTAATTAGGCCAAATTTATTATTTTTTACGTATTAACTGTGACACGTATTCCACTGTGACAACATTGTAAACGTAACAGCTTCTTGACAACCCTGTTACACGCTTGTTGCCAACAAGCTTGTAGCAGGTGTTACGAACAAGTTTGTTGACAAGATGTGAGATTTTTGCGTGTGTTTCCAGGCCCTTTTGTGTTTGAGTTTATTGAGGCTATGCTTACATTGTATCGGATCACTTTGCGTCCGACGCAAAAACCATACCGGGGATAGGGCTTCTGTTTACATATGAAACGTTGTTATCGTCTCAATTTCTGCAACGAACCGGTGGTGCGGCGGTTCGCTCTTCGAAGTGGTGCGCGGTGTATCGGATCGGTTTTTGCAACGCTCTCATTGTAATGTAAACACCAATCGGAGCAATTTCGGTTCAATGCGTGACTCAAGATGGAATCTGGCAAACAACAACTTACTATTCTAATAATATATAAAAGAAAACATGACGGCATAGATGGGCGGGCGGAAGCTGTTTACACTTGGGCCATAACTTTTCGCGAACGAAACAAAAACTGATCCGATACAATGTAAACATAGCCTGAGTTTCTCACTCATTGGTGAGCGGATTTCCCAACAAGCTATTGTCCAATTTAAAAGGGATCCGAGGTACCTACGATTTTAACATCCTTATGCGAGAAGACGCGAAAGCCTAACCAATTACTGATATCAATGTAAAGGTAGCACTTTCTCCTCAATTATTTTAAGACCTTGAGTAGAGCCCAAGGATTGAACTTGGGTCATCCATCTTGAAAGGCAAGCGTGGTAACCACGACTGCTGGTCGTATTAAACTTTTGTTTCCCTACTTTTAGGTGCATTTGGAATTGTGAAGAAGTGCGAGAGAAAAAGAGATAAGGCGGCGTTTGCAATCAAGGTTATTCTGTACAAGGATGCAAAACTTCTGAACGATATCAAACGAGAAGTAGAAATGATGAGAAAACTAAATCACGAACATCTCGTCACGTTGTACGAAGCTTACGAATGCGGAGGGAGTTATGGCATGGTCATGGATTACATAGCAGGCGGTGAACTCTTTGAAAGAATCATTGAAAAAGAATATTTGGAAGAAAAAGAAGCCGTTCAATATTTGCGTCAGCTGATTAACGGATTACAGCACATGCATAGCAAGAACATTGTTCATCTGGATATTAAACCCGAAAATATTTTGTGTGTTGACGCGACATCTAACCGCATTAAGTTGATAGACTTTGGTTTAGCTAGAGAACTTAAACCTGGCGAAACAACGCGATGCGCGTTGGGTACGCCCGATTTCGTAGCTCCTGAAGCGATCTCTTTCAATGAGATTAAACCTCAGACGGACATGTGGAGTACTGGCGTCCTTACGTATGTTCTGCTTAGTGGTCTAATGCCTTTCGGTGGAGATACTGACAACGAGACGTTGTGTAATATCTCCAACGTTGATTGGGAATTTGACGAGGATTCTTTCGAGGAAATATCATCTGATGCGCGGGATTTCATAGAAAAGCTTCTAACACTCCACCCTGAAGATCGATTGAGTTCAACTGACGCGATGGGACATCCTTGGATGAAAGCAAAGGAAGAACGGGGTGGTAAAATAAATACAAAACGACATCGGACATTCTTAGCGCGCAGAAGATGGAAGAAATCTGTGCACGTGGTGATGGCTGTAACGAAACTTTGTCGACTCCTACAATTTTCCTCTAATGTAAAATCTGGCAGCGGTACCAATCTTCAAGAGGTCGGATCAACTTCAATGCGAGAGAGAGCTATATCTAACCCAAATCCTGACCTTAACCCTGTCCAAAACCCTGGCCTTGACCATAAACTTAGCCCAAAGCCTGACCCTAGTCCTAACCCTAGTCCTGACCTTGACCATAAACTTAGCCCAAAGCCTGACCCTAGTCCTGGCCTTGACCTTAAACCGAACTCCAACCCTGGCCCCAACCATAACCTTGGCAAGAATACTAACCCCAACCCTAACCCTGAAGTAAGATCTCCACTTGAGGAAGAAAGCAATGGGACTACAAACAGGACAGTTGCTAAAGTTAGAGAAAACGCAAGAGTTCAGGAGGATATCGTGTCTTCGGATGTACCTGCTCATATAAATGGAAACGGTAGTAGCAAAGAAAGTAATAATGGTGCTGCAGTGAAAATGCCTGTCCTGACGCAAACAGGTAAAAAGGATCAGAAACAAAATCCACCAGGCAATAAGCTGGTAAGAAATCTTACGTTTTCTTCCTCAAACGAAACTGGACAGAAAATAATGTGGAAGGTACTGAAGTAGGCGAAATTCCATCAACTTTATTTATTTACATAGACCAAGTGATTCTATGGTTAATAATAATTTATCAGTACAAACTTGTCAATCTGCATGTAATAATAGGGAAAAATAAAAAGAATGAGTGGAATTTAAGGGACTTTTACCATATGTTAGTTTGTCATTCAAAAAATGTAACATTCCAATTTAGCCGATCGATCGCATTGAATTTAGTCTAAAAGGATAGGAATATATATATATATATATATATATATATATATATATATATATATATATATATATATATATATATATATATATATATATATATATATATATAAAAATATAAATATCACTAGCCTCCCAAAAAACTTCATTTATATAAAACTTCAAGTTGGAAACAAAATTTATTAAACTTCAAACAAATACATAATACGTTTCGGGCTGTGCCCCGAAAGGGGCTGTGCCCACAAAGGGGCTGTGCCCCGAAACGTATTATGTATTTGTTTGAAGTTTAATAAATTTTGTTTCCAACTTGAAGTTTTATATATATATATATATATATGAAATTTTATCTTTTCTACAAGTTTTAAAAGGTCGTTTTCGAAAGGTTTCATTTCCAAAATGGTGGGAGGTGTTCTGTTGCAAGGAAGACCGAAACGATTACTTTCATTCGAATTTTTATCACCTTTAGAAAAAAAGTTAGCTTTTGAGATAAACGGTTTAGTCACGTTCCACTTTTTCAATAACATTTCTCATGCAAATAAGCATCCTGTGATGGTATAGGAATATTTTTCAATGAATAGTCAAATTGAAATTAGCTATGCTGGCCAGTTGTTCACTTCAGCAGGCACTGAAGTGTAAATGGCAGTAATTAGCTATGCTGGCCAGTTGTTCACTTCAGCAGGCACTGAAGTGTAAATGGCAGTAATTAGCTTTACTATCCAGCTGTTCACTTCAGTAGGCACTGAAGTGTAAATGGCAGTAATTAGCTTAACTGTCCAGTTGTTCACTTCAGTAGGCACTGAAGTGTAAGTGGCAGTAATTAGCTTTACTATCCAGTTGTTCACTTCAGTAGGCACTGAAGTGTAAATGGCAGTGATTAGCTATGCTTCACTTCAGCAGGCACTGAAGTGTAAATGGCAGTAATTAGCTTTACTATCCAGTTGTTCATTTCAGTAGGCACTGAAGTGTAAATGGCAGTAATTAGCTTAACTGTCCAGTTGTTCACTTCAGCAGGCACTGAAGTGTAAATGGCAGTAATTAGCGATGCTGGCCAGTTGTTCATTCCAGTAGGCACTGACGTGTACGAACTCCAATGTATACAGAGGGCGACACGTATATGAATAACACCATGTTATTTTTTATCGGTGAAAATGTATTGCGAAATGCAGTCGCGGTAGACACGCAGCAAATTCAATCGTAATCATTCTAGCATTATGTACGGTCTTCGACTGCTAAACGGTAACTCGACATAGTAGATCCAGACATAGTACAGCTGTACAGTGGGCACTGAAGTGTACGAACCCTAAAGTATACACAGGCCGACACGTATATGAATAGCACAAGGTGTCGTGAAATGGTAGGCACGCAGGAAATTCATTCTTGAAAAAATTATCAAGGTTACAGAACACGCTAGAACGTCCAAAAATTAGATTTTTTCATATTGTGACATGTAAATCAGGACAAATCTTTATCCGATTTACAAACATTGATTAAACATTCATTTCTTTTGTATTTTCCTCGTGAATTATTAATGTTTTTTTAATTGATTATAATTAATAGTATCAAATGTTAGTGCTTAAATATTTTCTCGCTAACTCAAAGTCAATCATTTTAATATAATAAGTAATGTTCCCAACTCAAAAAGCGGGAAATCGTACTTAATATGCATGAATAGCAGAGTTTTTTCAAGGGGATGGTTGACATAACTATGGCGGGGGGGGGGAGGTGCTGAGAACCACCAGAAAGGGTGTACACATCCCTGCACCCTCCTGGTAGATCCGCCTCATATAGCCTGGGTACGAGGTTGGATCCGCCTATGAATCAAATTTCGCTTCCATGTATTTTAAATCGTCGTTGTAAATCGTTCCGTCTAACACAGTGTTTCCACAACTGATTTACAAAACTTATGTGTAAAATTTCAAAAAATGTTTTTCAGAATCAGAATATCTTTTTACAATTCAAGGCAACAAAATTACTGTTTCTTGCAGAATAAGAACCAATCATTTCAGATGTGTTGGGACGGATGCCCCAAGTACCTATTATTTTGACAAACTTCTAGCCCATACCCCCCTCCCCCCCCACCCGCTTTCAATGTTGGGTCTCAGTTAGCATCTTACTTTGTTGTATGATCGAGTAAACAACATTGAATGGAGAGGGGGAGGGGGATAAAATGTTTGTAAAACTAGGGGTGCACCGGAACCAATTTTTAAAGTCCCGGCCGGAACCGGAACTGCTTTATTAAGCCATATAGAGTCATATGTTACTTAGTCTGCTGCCAGACAGGCAGCCACTTCAAGTCATCAAGGAGAGAGCTAGACTTGCTCCAAGTCTCTCTTTGTGGAGACCCACTATATTGTACGTTACATGACGTACCGCTGAGGGGGAGAGGAGGAAAGAAAAGAGAGACTTGTAACATCTGGCAGCAGACATTCTTCCGGCTGGTCAATTTCGACCAGCCGGAAGTAGATGGCCGCATTGACTTATCATGTGTTTAGGGGGGGAAGGCGACATCTGGACTTATTTGTTTAACATAAGTAATTTTGTATTCACGAGATTTCTTGTAGATTTCACATCACTTTTGACTGCGTGCATTTGGAATTTTGGGCATTATTTTTGCAATTTATTGTACACAACGATTATAAGAAGAACGGATAAATTACAAATCAGCCGTAATCGTCATAAACCTCGATGACCACCAGGTTTTTGTGTTTGACAATTTGTATTTCATTAGATATTTATATGCAAGGTCAGTATAAACGGGTTATCATATAAAATGATCATTCTAATGAATTGATAAAACGAATTATATCTAATATGTACGGCCGCGTTTATTACACGGCCACTACTGAAGCGTTTAGCTTGAATGTTGAATAAATCGATGACTTGCTTAGTTGCTTTCTGTTTTGAGCTTAACCACCGTTTAAGCTTAACGGGCTTGATACCACTGGCCACAGACTCGGCCCCAG